ACTACCATCAGGAGGCCTCTGTTGACATCCTCCAGATATATTAGCACCACCCCGCCCTCTAGCTGCCCTATCACTATCACACATCCTGTTGTACTTTCTTTCAAGCTCTTTTTTTTTTTTTTTTTTTTTTGAGACAGAGTCTCACTGTGTTGCCCGGGCTAGAGTGCTGTGGCGTCATCCTAGCTCACAGCAACCTCAAACTCCTGGGCTCAAGCGATCCTTCTGCCTCAGCCTCCCGAGTAGCTGGGACTACAGGCATGCGCCACCATGCCCGGCTAATATTTTCTATATATTTTTAGTTGTCCAATTAATTTCTTTCTATTTTTGGTAGAGATGGGGTCTCGCTCTTGCTCAGGCTGGTTTCGAACTCCTGAGCTCAAACAATCCGCCCATCTCGGCCTCCCAGAGAGCTAGGATTACAGGCGTGAGCCACCGCGCCCGGCCTCTTTCAAGCTCTTATTGCCATGTGAAATTACTTTGTTCGTTTATTTATTCAACAACTATTTGAGTACCTAGTAAAGGCCAAGCACTGTCGGAGGCACTGGGATACAGCAGTGGACAACACTGAACAATGAACCTCACCCTCATGGAGCTTCCATCCTAGCGGGGGGAGACTGAAAAGAATGTCAGAAGATGGTATGTGCTAGGGAGAAGCATAGAGTAGAGGTGTGCTGGAAGCTGGGTTTGCTGCTTTTACAGGATGCTCAGAGAAGGCATCACTGACTAGGTGACATCTGGGGAAAGACCTGAAGGAGGTGAGGAAGTGAGTCACATGGACATCTAGAAGGGGAGCATTTGGGGTAGAAGGAAGAGCCAGTGCAAAGGCTCTTAGGCCAACATATGCTCCACATGTTGGAGCTCAGAGAGTGAGGGGTAGGAGCATTAGGAAAGGTAGGGGCTGGGGGACAGATCCTATAGGGCCTTACAAGTGTGAACAAAAGCTCTCTGAAGAGGAATGTGGAGGAAGGATTTTATTCCGGTGAACAGTTTGCAAACTGGGCAGACACAGCCCCTGTTGTAAAAACGAAGGTGTGTTCCAGGGAACAAAGAGAAGGTTCCAGTTTTACAGTAAAAGTTTCCACCCAGTTTCTCAATTAGGTCTGTTTATGCAAATGAAGGATTCAAACTTGCTTAGTGCTGATTGCTTAATCAGATACATCTGAACACTAATTGGCTGAGGCTGGTGAACTCTCATTGGTTGATTCAGGTGAGCTCTGAAAGTACCAAAGTTAAACAGGTGTGGGGTTTTGGGGGAACTCAGAGTAAGTGTGTGACCTCTGCTCAGCACATGGCCTCTTGGCTGTTTTAGGCGCACTCAGCCACTTGGGATCCATCTTGAAGGACTGACTCTTTCAGGTTCACATTTGTTCACACAGGAAACTGGGGACTTTGGCTTTGGAGGGGCTGGAGCAGAGGAGTGACGTGATCTGACTTGGTTAATAGGCTCTCCCTGTCTGCTGTGTTGGGACTAGAACTCAGAGCGGGAGGTGTGGAAGTAGACCACTTAGGAAGCTATTGAAAATAATCAATGAGAAATGCTGGTGGCTTATTACATGGTGGAGGTGGGGACGAGTGGTCAGATTCTGAGAAAATTTAAAAATAGAGCCAACAGGATTTGCTGATTTAGATGTGAGGTGTGAAAGAAAGGGAGGGGTCGAGATGACTCCGAGAGTTCTGGCCAGAGCAAAGGGGAGGGTGGAGTTGAATACGATGAGAAAGATTGCGCGGGGAGTAGATTTAAGATAGAAGATCCCTAGGTTCAGCTTTGAACTTTGTAATAACCACTAACGCTGATATACTACTGACATACACCTTTAGTGCCCAGATGTATCTGACTAAGTAATCAGCACTAAGCAAGTTTGAATCCTTCATTTGCATAAATAGACCTGATTGCGAAACTAGGTGGAAACTTTTACTATAAGACTGGAACCTTCTCTTTGTAGCTAGTATTCTAGGACTGTGCAGGTGATAACTCATTTAATCCTCTCAGAGCTCTATGAATAGGTAGTAATATTCCTCTTTTACATACGAGGTAACTGAGGCACAGGAAGATTAAATAACTTTCCCAAAATCACAAAAGCAGTGAGCAGCAGAGCCAGGACTAAGGATCAGGCAGTCTGGCTGCAGCATTTGTGCTCTCAGTGACTACACTCTGCTGCTGCCAGGTGGACATCCAGTGGAGAGGTTGCCTAGGGAGCTGGGCATGTGAGCCTGGGCCTCAGGGGACAGCTGCAGGCTGGAAATAATGCATTTATACACACTTGGGAATTGTGTTAGTTTCCTATGCCTGCTGTACCAAGGTGCCACAAAGCGGGCAGCTTAAAACAACAGAAATTCATTCTCTCAAGGTTCTGGAAGCTAGAATTTTGGATTCAAGGAGTTGGCAGGGTCATGTACCCTCTGAGACTCTGGGTAGAATCCTTTCTTGCCTCTTCCTAGATTCTGGTGGTTGCTGGCAATCCTTGGGATACTGCCTGTTGCTTGGCCAAGGGATGGAGCCTTAACCTGTAATAAGCAGGTGAATGATTAAAGCCACTTTGGCTTGCAGCTGTATCACTCCAATCTCTGCTTCTGTCCTCATATGGCTGTTGTCCTCGTGTGTCTGTCTTCACATGGTCTTCTGTCTTTTTACAAGGGCATAAGTCATATTGGATTAAGGGATCACCTTACTCCAGCATGACCTCATCCTAATTACATCTGCAATGACCCTATTTCCAAATAAGGTCCCATTCTGAAGTACTGGCGTTAAGACTTCAAAATTTTTTTTTTGAAACAGAGTCTCACTCTGTTACCCTGGGTAGAGTGCAGTGGCATCTTCATAGCTCAGTGCAACCTCAAACTCCTGGGCTCAAGCGATCTTCCTGCCTCAGCCTCCCGATTAGCTGGGACTATAGGTGTGTGCCACCACACCTGGCTGATTTTTTCTGTTTTTGGTAGAGCTGGCTGGTCTCAAAATCCTGAGCTTAAGCGATCCTCCTGCCTCAGCCTCCCAGAGTGCTAGGATTGCAGGCATGAGCCACCATGCCAGGCCTAGGACTTCAACATATTTTGAGGGGGACACAATTCAACCCATAACAAGAATCTTTAGGGTGTAGGTGGTAATTCAAGCCATGAGTCTAGAGGTGACCACTTCAGCCCTTGGGGATTGAGTAGAAAGGAGATGGAAGACCTAGCTTTGGGGAAGGACACCCTGTAGAGTGGAGATAAGGAGAAGCCAGCAAAGGAGGCCAAGGAGCAGCAAGTGAGGTAGAAGCAAGGTGGGACCATGTGGTGTCCTGGAAGCCAGGGTAGGAAAGTGTATCTAGGAGGAGAAGGGAGGCTCAGCGAAGTTCAAAGCAGCTGATTAAGTCAAGAAAGAGGATGGGAAATGGCTGTCTGATTTGACAACTTGAAGGTCACTTGTGACCTTGACAAGCACTGTTCCAGTGGCGCGGAAGGGATTAAAGCCTGATCAGTGTGTGCTCATGGTGAAATGGGAGAAGAGGACTTGGGGACAGCAAAACAGAAAATTCTATCTACATGTTTATGGTCTGTCCACCCTAGCATGGAAGAGCCACAAGAGCCAGGATAAAAAACAAAAACAAAAACCCACCCCAGGACCTTGGGGTATCTTATTAATTTCTGTATCTCACTGCCCAGCACACTGTATTTATTAAACCATGTTGAATATTGTGTTAGCCAATATCTCCTTCAAATGTGGGAGCCCATCATTTTTCAGTTTGGTCACACCAGTAAAGACTAGAGAGGAATAAGGCTGGAATAGAATTCTCTGGCTCCTTCCAGCTCTAAAATTCTATGGTTGTGTGACTCGTTTTGTCAACCACCCTTGTATTAATACAGTAATGAATTTAGTTAGCTGTTTGTTGTTGTTTATTCATCTTGGCAAGCAACTGTTAAATGAAATGGCTGGAATAAGTGTTCCATTCATAAATTCAACAAACATTTGTTCAGTGTATTAGGTGGTATATATATTGTCCCGTTTAATAGATGTTTAAGAGCAGAGGGTCTGGGGTGGGGGAGGGTGGTCAGGAGAGGTGATGGGGATATCCCACCGCTAATGCTCCAGGAGGTCTGATGTGGTTGGTGTTACTTGCTTACAACCGAGGAGGGAAGAGGCCCCTGAGTGGAGGGGGTTGCAGAGCTGCAGCTGCAAGGGACACAGAGCAGCATTCACCAAGACATAATAAGCAGCCTCTATCTACTTCACCACTAAGTAGCTTAGGGCCGTGACACAGAACAGCTGTTGTAGGCAGTGGGAGGAGAGGAAGACGTGGTCCACAGGTCCACTCTGCCACATTTAGGGCTCAAGCCGTAGTTGGATGGTGCTTTTGGGTTTTCTCTGCATGATCCCTTCTTTTTGCTGTGATAAGGCCCTGTCAGGCAGGGCAGGATTTACCAGTTGCATTCCAAGGCAAAGAGAGCACGGCTCGGAGCATTGCAAAACCTGAGGGTGAGGGGCAGAATCAGGACAAGAACCTAGGGGTTCTGACCCCAAGTGCCTGCCCCAGGAATAATGGAAAGAACGTGAATTCTATAGTTCACTCCTGGAGGAAATAAACTCCACTTGATTACTGCCCTCCCTCCATCCTTTCTGAAACAAAGTACCTCAGTTTCCTCCTCTGTAAAATAGGGAGAAAAATGTCCTCCTTACAGGGGTCCTTGCAGGATCAGGGGCATAATGTGAGTGAAAGCGCTTTGTAACATACAAAGTGCTCTCCGGACATTTATAACGGTTATAAATCACCAGGCCAAGCTTCCTCCTGCAGTTATAGATTAGGCGCTCCCACCCACCTGACCTTGTTCCACTTTTCACTCATTTTCTCCGTCCCGCCCCCTCCAACAAAGAGAGGAAGTGAGAGACGAAGAGGCACGCGCGTCTAAGCCGGGGTTTAGCCGGCCCTGGGTACCTCTCAGCCCTCGCCGCCCCGGGCGTGCGGAGGGTCGCCCCGCCCGGACTACATTTCCCAGCGGCCCTTTCGCGGCCCCGAGGCGGCAGCAGCGAGGCGCATGCGCCCTGTGCCGCCACGCCTGGTCTCCCGGACGCCCGTGCAAACCGGTTTTGCCTCGCAGAGCCGGCAGGTCCTGGCACAGCGGCCGGTGCGGTAGCGGGCTCAGGTGTACCGTACCCCTGGTCAGTGCCATGATCCGGCAGGAGCGCTCTACATCCTACCAGGAGGTACAAGGGAGTGGGAGACGTACGGAAAGTTTCTTGCGAGGCGGAGGAGCGGCGTCCCGGGCGTCTGGGCGGGTGGGGTGAGGGGGGCGCCCGGGCTGCGCGCGGCCGAGGGCTCTTGAGAGGGACGTGGGGAGCGCGTCCTGGGAGGGGTCCCCGCGTGCAGAGGAGCGGCGGAGGGGGCAGGAAGGAAGCGGGGCGGCGGAGCTGGCACCCAGCCTCCTCCGGATGCTGCCAGTCGCTTGGCCGAGGGATGGAGCCAGGTCCGCGGAGCCGCGACCCGTAACCAGCAGGTGAATGATTAAAGCCACCTCAGAAGCGGCACCCCCTGAGGAACGTGGCGTTGTCTGCAACAAGTGGAAGCTCCCGCGCCCTCCTTCCGGCGAGCACACATGCACGATGTGCGTTAGTCCTTCTCCAAACCCAAGGCCTCGCGCCCCCCCCAGGGGTCGTTAGTGACGGGGATAATTATCTCAGGTTTTGGTGGCTACTTGACTTTGAAAAAGTGCTTTCACTGACATTGATGGTTCTCGCACCTCTCCATATCTCTCCCGCCAGTGTCACCCCCTCCCTGACTTTATCACTTTCCAGTTCTTTGTCTTTTGTCTGTCCTGAGCTGGAGGCTGCGCTTCCAGCTTTTCCTCCAGACCAGCTCTTCCTCCTGACTCCCCCTTTCTTACTGAAACCGGTCTCCTCCTCCTCCTCTTCTCAGGTGCCACACCTTGTTCATCTTTGCTAACCTTCCTCTCCTGTGCGCCTTCGCTTGCCGAGGTCAGGCCGTTCCACTAGTCCTCCTGCAGTCTGGGTCCCTGCGTTTGCTCTAATCACCCGAATGTGATACACTGTTACCACCTCTCCCCCCAGTCTTTCTTATACTCTCCAGATTTGCTTTGAGGCCCAGCCTTGACCCCGGAACATTCCTGTGTTCATAGACCTGATGCTGCCCTTAGTCTGTCCAGACCAGTCCAGACTTCAAGCTTTCACAGCTCTGTACAGCTCAGCAGCTGTATCTCCCATTACCTTTGCCATCTCCTCAGCCACCTCGTTTCTGACCACTCTGGAAACTCACCATTTTGAAACATGCTTCTGGCCTTATGCTCGTGCTCATAACCATTTCTTCTTTAACCCTCTCCCAAGCTCCGTTGGGTAAAATTCCCCCATTAGTTGAGGGCCACCTCAGGTCCCACCTACTCTGTGGGGGCTGACTTTCCAGACCAGCCTCGAATCTGCCTGTCCTTCTCACGTGAACTTGCTGCTTTCTGTTTTGATCAATAGTTATCGATCTACACCTCTCCCTTCGTAAATGACTATAATTTGCAGAAGGGCTTTGGGGAGTATATTAAAGCAGGTGGCTTAGCTCTACAGTAGAAGGGGAAGCCATGTTGAAGACAGATGAGATTTGCCTAAGGATTGCCATTTTTTGTAACCTTGGCTGGAGTCTGGTCTTGGACAGATTTCTGTATTTCTCCTCTCATTTCCCCTTAATCCCATCTGTTTCCTTTATCTAACGGGAGCCTGATGGATTTTAACCAGTGCTGTGGATTCCACGGGCCCTAGATTCCATGCCCTAGACAGTGGGGCAATCCTGGGGAATGAGATGTGTCTTTCCCTAACTCTGAAAGTTTTCAGGTTTAAAGTTTTCAGGTAGAGCATAGTGGGCAAATACTAGGTCTTTGAAGTCAAAAAGCCACTTTCCTGTCCTGGCTTTGCTTCTTGCCCATTTGTGCGACTTTTGTCAAGTCACTTAACTTTCTGAGCCTTAGTTTTTTCATTTGAAAATGAAAATAATGGTAGTCCCCCTACCTCCTAGGGTCGTTGTGGGAATTAGATGAGTTGACATGTGGAAAGTGCTTGGCTCAGTACCTGGCAGGTAGTGACCCCTCAGTGAACAATAGTCTTATTAACAGGGTGTGGGCAGCTCCTATTTCTAGGGAGCCTTGGGGTCCTGGCTTAACAGGACTGTGTCCCTCACCATCCACATGGCCTGCAGGATCTCTTCACCTAGCAGGGCTCATAAGATGTTTGTTAAAATATAGCAGTTGTTCTGCTTGCAGAGATAAGGCCAGAGGTGGAGTCATTTGCCCTTTGGGGGCATGCCCATGGTGGAAGGCTCTGGAAGGTCCCCCTCCCCTTGCCTTCCCAGAGGTCTGTTGTGAAGTCCCTGTCTCTCGCCTTCTTCAGAGGAAGAAGGCTGCCCACACAATGGCCTGCATCTTTCTTGCCTGGATCATTCTGAGAGTGGACCTAGTTCCAAGTTAGGTTGCTTTGCTGAAGGGAGATTTTTGGCTTTGGAGGGTGGGGTATACTGAGAATTTGGTCAAGGGCTGGCAAGGAGGTGGGCTCATCATGGCTGTGGGCAGTCAGAAAGGGTGTTACCACCTGGGTCAGGGTGAACCTGGATGAGGCTTGGATCAAAGAACTTTGAGCCTTCCCAGGACTAACACCCTCCTCTCCCTTTGGCCAGTGAGATCTCTCGGGACCTCTTTATCTGTCCTCCCATTAGTGGCCTGTATATCATGGTGCCATCTCCAGCCTCCCAGCCCTCTCCTACTCGTTGTTTTTCTTTTCTTTTGTGCTTCGAGGGCTTTAAATTGGAGGTTTTGCCTGAATCTAAGGGGCAGGAGTGGAGACGTGGAGAGTAGATGGAAGAATAATAGATGGATAAGAGCTGTTTTTTAACTCGGGTCTCTTGGAGGTGAATTTTTAATGAAAATGTTTTGAAACTGTAAGTGGACACAGCTGAAGAAAACATTTAGGAAAGCTGTTCCCTCCCCACTTCCTAATTCAGTGATGGCTTCTCCTCTAAACTCTGGTCTTGACCTTTTCTGCCTTCCTCCCTAATCCTGTGGAGACTTATGGATTATCATGGTCTCCTTTCTGCCTTTCTACCCTTATCAGTGGCGTAATTTTCCCCATTTGACAGGTGAGAACACTGATGATGTGAGGTTAAGTTTGCCTGGGACCAGGCTGCTAATTAGCACCTGTCCTTGCGATGGACCTCTCTCCCTGTTTTGTTCTGCCCTTTGGAGCTCTATTTTAGCCAGAGTGCTGGAGAGCTTTGACAGCAACTTCACTGTTCCCTCTTCTCTCTCAGCAGACTGTAAGCTGCATTTCCACTTCCTTTGGGAAGTGGCTATGACTGTGGCCTTTCGAACTAGGCCAACTTAGATTTGACTCCAGGCTCTGTCTTTCAGTGGCTCTATGGCCATGGGAAATACTGTGATTTGAATTGTGTTTCCCCAGAAACATATGTTGAAGTTCTAACCCCCAGTACCTCATATTGCGACTTTGGAAATAGGGTTGTTGCAGGTGTAATTAGTTAAGATGAGGTCTTAACTGGAGTAGGGTGAGCTCCTAACGCAACATGACTGGTGTCCTTAAGGAAGATGACCATGTGAAGACCCAGACACGGGGAGAATACCTTGTGAAGACGGAGGCGGTGATTGGAGTTTGGATGCATCTACAAGCTAAGGAAAGCCAAGGATTGCCAGCTGTTGCTAGAAGCTAGGAGAACCACATGGAACAGATTCTCTCTCACCACTCTCGGAAGGAACCAACCCTCCCAACACCTTGATTTCAGACTTCAAGCCTCAAGAACTGTGACAGAAGACATTTTTGTTGTTTTAAGCCACTCAGTTTGTGGTGCTTTGTAACAGTGGTCCTAAGAAACTAATAGACAGGAGGTTCCTTGAATTTTCTGAGCTTCAGTATCCTCATCTGTAGAAATGCTGTAACACATCCTACATTGTGTGGTTTTTTGTGACAAATGAGAAGCAGCTGCTGCTTTCTTATTCTAGTGTAGAAAAGCAAGGCTGATGTGCTGATGTAGCTCACCTGTTTGCCCTCTTTGCTTCTCCCTTTAGCTGAGTGAGGAGTTGGACCAGGTGATTGAGAACTCAGAGCAGGCAGACAAGCTGGACAAGGAGACGATCAAAGTCCAAGGTCCGGGTTTCTTACCAGGTGAGTGGGTTTGGTGCAGGAAGTGGAAACGCTGGAAAACAGTGCTGTGCTGTTGCTGCAGGGGGAGGCCCCAGACCAGGCACTTCCCCAACTATGGGAGAGGAGGAACCTCCTTCCCTGTACCCTGGTGTCAGATCTCAAGTATTGCCCTAGTGTTAAAGCCATACATATTTAACCAGTCTCAGGAGAGAGAATATGTCCAGGCTGGTATCTGCTGTTTCCTTGGCTCCAGTGTGAGCCAGTTCCTGTGGCCAGGTCAGTGGATACAGTGGCAGATGCTTTGGGTCTCTGCTCTTCCATTCCTCCTTCCCTAGGAAGTTACTAGCAGGTGAGTCTCCAATATCCAGGTCACTGCCCAGAACCCTCTGGGAGAAGAACTAATAGGCCCCACCTCTCAGATACCAGGCCTGTCCAGTATTGCTGCCCAGCTGGGTGAGCAGGGTCCTATCAGTCAGTTGGCATCTTGCAGAGTATCACAGTAACATTTGACACTGTTGACTACTTCTTCCTCCTGGATACACTCTGCTCCCTTAGCTTTTATGACGTAGCCGTTCTCAGGCCAGTCTTTCCATGCTCCTTTGCAGTCTCTGTCCAGCTCTTGGGCATTACATGTTTGTTGTAGGCCCCCTTCTCTCACTCTACTGGGCCATCTCCCCCAGGCCTGCTACACTGCTTGCTCACATGTGACTCCCTTGTTTGCATCCCTAGCACAGAGATTAACTACAAACTCCAGACTTATATATCCTGCATATCCAACCGTCCAGGTGATAGCTCTGTTTGGATGTCCCAAAGCTGTCCTAAACATGTATCCAAAATTGACCTCATGATCTTCTCATTCCCAGAGTGGTCCTCTTCCAGTGTTCCCTGTTTCTGGGAACAGTACCACCACTCATGTAGCTGAATTTTGGAGTCATTCTTCCTTCCTTCCTTCCCATCATCCCCTATTTCTCTGTCCCTCAGCCATGCTGACCTTTTATTTTAGGCCTCATTTCCTCCCACTATAGGGCCTTTTTGTTGTTTTATTCCTCTGCCTGGAATTTTCTTCCTTCTGCCACCTAGTTTATGCCTAATCATTCTTCAGCTCCCAGCTCACTCTTTTTTTTCCTACAAAGCCTTCTCTGACCTCTTAGCTGGATCACCTCCCATCCTCCAACACTGTCTCTCACAGTCTGAACCTCACCTTTGTAGCTATTGCTGTTGGAACGCTATACTTGTTTGACCATTTGACTAATGTCTGTTCTACTAGAATGAAACTTCCTGAAGGCAGAGACTGGCTTGTTTTGCTCTCCACTTTTGCCTTGACCCTGCAGTAGATTTGTTCAGTGAATAAATGAGTGAATGGAGCCCCAAATTGACTCCAGCTCCTAGGGTGGATTGGGGAAGGTAGAGTTCTGTTCCTCCTGATTCCTCTATTGGTAGGGGAGGGGAATAGGATAGGAACTTCTGGGATTCTGCCTGCTCCTTAGAGAAGACTATGTAGAAGGAAGGAGACTGGATGGGTAGCTAATGTTTCCTGACTGCTTTCTCTGTGCCAGACTTTGTCCTACCCATGCCCCATTTAATTTTCTTAACAATCCTGTGAGGTGGTCATCCTCCTTTTACAGATAAGGACCCCAGGCTTGGGAGATTAGGTAAAGCATGAGAAGATCACATGGTCGGCAAACAGACTGAATCAAACTCTGACCCCAAATGCTTTCTACTACACCAGTGATTTTAAAATATTTTAAGCATTCTTTTATTAAAGCCCAATATGTAAAAGGTAGTGGCATGGCTATCTCCTACTCTGCTATTAGGCCTACCTTAGAAGCCCTAAGGCTCTAGGGAGAGGAGTTTGAAAGCCTTGCATATTAGTGTCCTCTTGTTTCTATAACAAATTACCACAAACTTAGTGGCTTAAAACAATACAAATTATCTTACGGTTCTAGAGGTCAGGAGTCCAAAATGGGTCTCACTGGGCTAAAATTAAGGTGTCAGCAGGCCTGAATTCTTTTCAGGAGGCTCTAGGTGAGAATCTGTTCTTTCCCTTTTCTGGCTTCAGAAGGCTTCCTGCATTCCTTGCCTTGTGGCCCCTTTCTCCAACTTCAAAACCAGCAGTGGCTGGTTGAGTCTTTTTCACATCACATCACTCTGACACTGACTCTTCTGCTTCCCTTTTTCATGTTTAGAGTCCTTGTGATCACATTGGGCCCACCCAGATAATCCAGGGTAATCTCCCTATTTTGATTGGCAACCTTAGTCCCATCTGCTTTTCCATGTAACTTGACATATTTACAGGTTCTAAGAATTAAGGCTTGGACATCTTTGGGAGCCTTTATTTCGCCTACCACACCCTGCACTATCCTCTTGCCCCCAACCAGAAGAGGACGGATGCAGGCAGCAGGAAGAAGAGGATGGGGTGAACTTGGAAAGATGAGGCTTGCCTTTGTGTTTCCTTTTATAGATAAATGCCTAGGTAAATTAGGAGGTTGCCATGGACCTTGGACCTTAGCAGCCTCTTTTTTCCTCAGATTCCTGGGGCCTCAAAGCCTGAGGTCCGTCAGAATAGGAAGCCAGGCCCCAGGTAGAGCAAATTTTGGGAAGCTCTATCAACTGGCAGGAGCCTTTTCTGCTTTTGGGAAACCCCTCCTGGGCTCATCACTTTTCTGGACAGTAGAAGATCCAGTTCTCAGAAGTCCATTTGGCTGGTCTTAGTAGTGACTTTGCCTGAATTTGATGGCCTGATATACAACTCTCACAGCTCATTTCCTGCCTCTGAGTCTTCTGATAATAATAAAAATAGTGGTAATCATGATGGTAGCCACCATTTTTGGGGTACTTTCAAGGCCTGTATAGGGCTTTTTATATACACTTAATCCTATAATCTTCACAGCCACTCTGAAGGAAATGGTTAGTCCTAGTTTATAGTTGAGGAACCTGAGACACAGGTTCAGTAACATGTTCTAATCTAATGAGTGGCAGCGCTCAAATTTACACACAGGACTATCTCCCAAGGTGTTCCAACTCTGGCTCAGTTGTTCCTAGATAAGATGCCCTCCCGTTCCAAATCCTCCCCTGCCTCCAGCAGAGTCACTCATGGACTCCTTCACCTGTTTGCCAAGTGCTGAACCCAGAGAGAGGTGAGTGAGAATGGCCTACCTCCAGGAACTCACAACATGTAGAAAGAAAAGACAGGTTACCCAAGGAACTTGTCCCTCCTCCTGAACCTTCCTCGAACTTGCTGAAGTCCATTTCTCACTGTTACATGCTTTCCATTGTAGTACTTAGCACCGTTGATAGGTCACATTTATTGAATATAATTCTTCATTTAATTGTTATCAGCCCCTTGGCCCTGCCCCCAAGTTCTGTGAGGCACAAAAATTTTGTCTTTTCCTCCTTTATTGTAATTCCAATGCCTGGTGTGGAGTGCCTGGCCCACTGCGGGTACTTAGTACGTATTTGTCCTCTGGCAGGGGGGCGGTGGGAATTTAGAGCAGGAAAGCATCTCATCTAGGAGTGACTGAGCCAACTGGAATGAATGAATGAGTGCCAAAGAAATGTTAGAGTCAGGTGCTTCAGAAATATACGAAGGAAGGCTGCTTTGTGAAAAAAAAAATGAGATTGCTCTGAAGGAAGGGTAACATGTAGGTGAAAAAGAAGGGGCGAAAAAGAAGGGGCTGGCCAGGGAGGGAAGATAGCATGAGCAGTGGTATACAGGTGAGAATAAAATAGGACATTATGGGGGCAGTGGGTAGCGCAGCATGGTTGGAGCAGAGGGTTGGTGAGGGAGGTAGAGGGAGATGAGGTGGGAAGGATAGACTGGGTCAGATTGTGGAGGCATCTGAGTGTCAGGGTTTGGACTTGAGGGAGCAGGGAGTATTTAAAGGGATTGGAGCAGGACAGTAAGAGGAATAAAGTGGGGATTTAAGATCAGTGTGGCTGGATGAAGGTGAAGGGAGACAACTATGCTTATGTAATGTTTAAAGGCTGATGTGAAAAAGGTTTTTAAAAAAAGGCTGATGGAAGAGGCTGCTTTGATATGGGGGAGAGGGAGGAGGAGGAGTCACAGAAGATTCTGACTTTTGAAGCCAGGCAAATGGGAGAATGATGCTGTACAGAGATAGAGTGCAGAGGGGCAAGCAGCCTGGAGGAGAAGCTTATCTATTGTTGACATACCAAGCTTAGGTTGAAGGGGTACATCTGGGTGGAGATGGCCCAGAGGCAATGAGAGGTACAAGATTGACAGGAGAGAGGGGAGGGATAGGGTTATGCAAGTAGGAGAGATCCCATGCGGCAGGGACACAGGAACAGATGGAGAATAAGCAGGCAGGACCGTGAAGAGTGAGTCTCAGGAATATCCATATTTGGGGGCCAAGAGAGGAGGTGGAGCTGGAAAAGGAGGTGAATGGAGGGCTAGAGGTAGGAGCAGCAAGACAGAAGGACAGTAATAGAGTGCTGAGCATTGAGTAGCAGAGATTCAAGTTAAGCACCCAAACATTCATGGTTATATACCCAGTTTTACTCTCTGGGATAAATAATTCCATACCATAATGTGGTAAAAGCGTCAGTCTATCCATTTCCTCTATCAAGAGGATCACAGCCACTTGCTATTCTTTTCAAAGGGAGAAATGATGGGCCAAAGACACGAAAAGAAACTTTTCAAGGGAAGATAGACTAATGGCCAACAAACATGAAAAAATGCTCAATATTTCTAATCATCAGGGAAATGCAAATCAAAACCACAATGAAATATCACCTAGCTCCAGTGAGAATGGCTTTTATCAAAAAGTCCCAAAACAACAAATGCTGGTGTGGATGCAGAGCGATAGGAACATTTATACACTGTTGGTGGGACTGCAAACTAGTACAACCTCTATGGAAAGTGGTATGGAGATACCTCAAAGAACTAAAAGTACACCTACCATTTGATCCAGCAATCCCACTACTGGGTATTTACCCAAAAGAAAAAAAGACATTTTATAAAAAAAAAAAAAAAAAAAAAAAAAAGACACCTGCACCGGAGT